GTGCCCGAGTTTCCAAATGGTCAGTCCGCCCCTGCTCCATGCCAATAGCGTCATGACTGAGATTTGACTTCATTGCTGCAAGGCATAAGTGCTAACCAGCAGGGGCGGACTGACAACTCATGGGGCCCCCGGGCAATAGGGGATCATGGGGCCCCTGTGTCCTTGCCCAAGCTCAAAAAAGCCTATGAAAGAGGTACCAGAGGCATCTCATGGGGCCCCCTACCAAGGGTGGACTGACAACTAACCAGCAAACACAAATGCTCCTGCGCTTGGCGATGGACTCGATGCAGGCTACAACCACATTAAGAATGTCCTGGAACATGCATGCCTTGATGCCCTCAAATAGACTGGGGGAATCCAAATATACTGAATGAGGAAAGAACAAAAGAGAGGGCGCACAGGCCTAGTGCATTACCATAAAAAATGTTTAATAAGAAATAAAATACGTGTTGTACTAACAAAGAGAATAAAGTCAAGGCACATCATAAAAGAACAGCTGGGTCAACACCGCGCTGAGTAACAGTCCACAATGGGGAGTGTAGACATCCAATAGGCTGACGCATTTCGAGGACTTGTCTCTTCCTCAGAGCCACAACTCATGGGGCCCCCGGGCAATAGGGGATCATGGGGCCCCTGTGTCCTTGCCCAAACTCAAAAAAGCCTATGAAAAAGGTACCAGGGGCATCTCATGGGGCCCCCTACTGACCCCGGGCCCTCGAACAGTGCCCGAATTTCTAAATGGTCAGTCCGCCCCTGCCCCCTACTGACCCCGGGCCCTCGGGCAGTGCCTGAGTTTCCAAATGGTCAGTCCGCCCCTGCCCCCTACTGACCCCGGGCCCTCGGGGCAGTGCCCGAGTTTCCAAATGGTCAGTCCGCCCCCTACTGACCCCGGGCCCTCGGGCAGCGCCCGAGTTTCCAAATGATCAGTCCACCACTGCTAACCACCAAGGGTTCATGCACCCTGGGTGTTTAGCCCCTGTGCATGAGACTCTGGCATTTAAGTGCTGACAAAAGGCTGTGCAAGTAGTCTGCAAATTTATGAGTATTCACCCCATGAGCCTACTGTCCTAAACATTAGTAGCACTTGGTACACCATCCAGTTCCATCCAGTTGCAGTAGCTGTCAGCCTTTCATAGAGGTTTACAAGCTGCCGGGAGCGGGGCTGGATGGTTCTCCTCTGCCTTCCACCTAAACGCTGGAGTCTCATACATTGGAGCTAAACAGTCAGTGTTCATGAGACCTTAGGCACTGTGCTGCCCCACTCCTCCAATATCTAGATATTTTTCCATCACCTGATTGGAGTAGCGAGGGGGATATAAACTAAATATTTACAAGTTGTAGGGTTGGCATTAAAATGAACATGTTTCTTTGCATGGCCATATAATAGTGATCACATGACAAAACATTGCTTTGGTAGACACATTTGTCTCTACCCCTTCAGTCGATAAAGACTTGGACATCTACTCTGTACCAGTACACTTTGTCACTTCACAAGAAAAAGAAAAAAATCATAAAGGTACAAGAAAAGAAAACACGGTTATGAAAGGATTCACTGGGATTGTGTTCATTATATAAACTATCGTAGGAGGTCTGGCTCATTTCTGACTAGCTGGTGTACATTTTTCATTAGCAGGTGAAACGTTTGCTATTAACGTGATGGAGTCTGTAATATTTCTGTGTGTTTACTGCAGGGGTAGGCCAGGGAGGCTACCGGGCGAGTTATAACCTCCTTGCTCATATTGGAAGGAAGTGTGCTGCAGCGGCTTAATTGAGGTTGAGGTTAAATAAAAAGTAAAGAGTTTGTTAGAAGTTAATTATTTCTGACTCAATTCTTTTAGCGCAGCTGAGGTAATTACTTTGTGGCCTTTTGTGCTTGCAGTCTTTGCAAACAATGAAAAATACATTTTCTCCGGCAGTGCTGTGCAGCATCCTTGTCACTTTGAAGCTGATAATGCCTCCAATGCTGGAAGCCGACCAGCCAAACTGTTTTCACTTAGAAAGATCACACACGGTGCTGGATGCTGTGAAGTTGGTCTCACTTCTGGGTGGCTTTCTGGCTGGTTTCTGAGTGAAAGCAGCAATGGCAGACAGTGGCCCAGAGGTCTATCCTGCATGAAGGAACAATGGTAGAGAGTGGCCCAGGGGTCTCTCTTTCATGAAGGAACAATGGTAGACAGTCGTCCAGAGGTCTCTGTGGCATGAAGGAACAATGGTAGACAGTGGTCCAGAGGTCTCTGTGGCATGAAGGAACAATTGTAGACAGTGGTCCAGAGGTCTCTGTGGCATGAAGGAACAATGGTAGACAGTGGCCCAGAGGTCTCTGCAATATGAAGGAATGATGGTAGACAGTGGCCCAGAGGTCTCTCTTGCATGAAGGAACAATGGTAGACAGTGGTCCAGAGGTCTCTCTTGCATGAAGGAACAATGGTAGACAGCGGTCCAGAGGTCTCTGTGGCATGAAGGAACAATGGTAGACAGCGGCCCAGAGGTCTCTGTGGCATGAAGGAACAATGGTAGACAGCGGCCCAGAGGTCTCTGTGGCATGAAGGAACAATGGTAGACAGTGGCCCAGAGGTCTCTGTGGCATGAAGGAACAATGGTAGACAGTGGCCCAGAGGTCTCTGTGGCATGAAGGAACAATGGTAGACAGTGGCCCAGAGGTCTCTGCAGTATGAAGGAACAATGGTAGACAGTGGCCCAGAGGTCTCTGCAGTATGAAGGAACAATGGTAGACAGTGGCCCAGAGGTCTCTGCAGCATGAAGGAACAATGGAAAACAGTGGTCTAGAGGTCTCTCCCATGGGAAGGAACAGTGGCCCAGAGGTAACAAAAAACCTTGTGCTTTTTTTTTTTGTCTATTTCCCATTGTGGGGATTTTCCTTCACTTCCCTTTTTCTAGGCATAATAGGAAATGAGAGGAAATCTCTCCAAACGGAAGAGAAATCCCTAGATAGTTATATAATTGCAGAACCAACAGTGATGGATGTATCATCAGAGTGAACAGGTAATCCAAATATGTTATGGGGAACTTTGAGAAAACAAAACTTTGGTGTAATGCTAGTGACAGCCTGCAGCATATATCTGTAGCGCTACCCTCATGAAGGCTGCTGAGTTTCCAGATCTCCGTAAGTCAGGCAACACACATTTTCCACACTTGCATCCACAGTCAGTGAACAGCTCATGAGCTTGTTTTTTTATTTGATTAGGGGAAATAACTTGGATAGGATAGTAGGGGTTATGGGCTGCTCAATTTTACTGAATCAATGCACAGGGACAACTTCCTTCCTATTTACAGAAACAGATCCTGGACTGTTCTTCTCCTTGAAACCTATTAGTCTTTGTGGATCTGCAGCAACTGCCCCTTGTGAGCGAGGGACCCGCAGCCCCATTGAAAGTTAGCTTATTGTGTTGCAAAATACATACAGAGATATCTCCTCTCCCCTATAGAACTGCTCCCAGCTCCACAGCCTGCTGATGCTACCAGCCTTCCTGGCTGCTCTGAAGATCTCCCAGGACAAGGATAAAGGATTAAGCACAGCGCTGTCCTTTGGAAGCTTGCTGCAAGTGGCAGTCTTTCCCCTTGTAAATCCCTGGGTGTGCTGATGTACTCACGCTGTCCTCCTTGCTCCTAATGCACTTAGGCCTTGATCCTGTTCACACCGTACTGTTGAATGGACCCTCCTAAACCAGCCCAAGCCCGGCTTGGAGGTCGCCGCAATCCCCCCCCCCCCTCCCAGACCTAGCCGGCCTCCCAGGCCACCCACAGTCTCCTTAGCACTCCATCTTCCACCCAACTCAACTGCCAGCTTGACCCTTTCTTATATGTATGGGCTGGTCCACCACTCTACCAGGGCCTCCAAAGCTGGGATTGGTTAGACTCCCATAAACATGCAGATTAGGTCTCAAACTCTTCCGCCTACTGGCTTCTGGAAGGTTACAATAGTCCTTCAGATCCAGGTGGAGGCAGGAGAATTCCCAACATGTTAAGCCACCCAGCTTGACCTGCAGTAACCCGACCTTAATCACAGACTCATGTAGTTACCATTAGTCACAGGCAATAGATTTGCCTACACTATTCTAGTAGCACACTAGAGGGTGCTACATATGTAATTTTTCTATTTACATTTTTAAATTAAAAAAGTAGTAAGGACCTATGCCAATGGGATTTTGTTTGCGTCAAATTGATTTTCTATTTCCATACAAGCCTTTGGGAATGCAAAACCTGCTTAAAGCAGGTCAGAAGGATGTCAGGTCAAATTAACTTGTCAATAACTTCAGAATGATCTTGGAAGCATCTCAAGCATCACTACAAGTCAAAAGTCCATCAACACAGTCCCTATGTATTGTTCATAGTGAATGGATTCCAAAGACCACTTTTTCTCTTAAAACAAAACTGCCAAAAATGACAAGATCCAATTGAAAAGCTCATTAAAAGATAAAATAAGTGAAGTGATGGTCACAAGTCTCAAAGTTATGACTGGGGTCGTCGTCGTGATAAGGTCATGAAGTTCATTATTGCATATCGATATGTTAATGGTGATTCTAGTATAGGGAATAAACTATTCAGTCTCAGGGAGTGTAAGAAGACACGGGGCCACTAACTGAAATTAGAGGAGAAGCAGTTTAACCACTTGCCTATTGTGCACTTATACCCCCTTCCTGCCCAGGCCAATTTTCAGCTTTCAGCGCTGTCGCACTTTCAATGACAATTGCGCGGTCATGCAACACTGCACCCATATGACATTTTTATCATTCTTTTGAGACAGATAGAGCTTTATTTTAGTGCTATTTAATCACCTCTGGGTTTTTTATTTTTTTGCTAAACAAACCAAAAACATCTGAAAATTTTGAAAAAAAAAAGTTTTTTCCTAGTTTCTGTTACAAAATTTTTTTGAAAATAGTGAATTTTCTCCTTCACTGATGTGCGCTAATGAGCCTGCAGTGATGGGCATTGATAGGCAGCACTGATGGGCACTGATGAGGAGGCACTGGTAGGTGGCGCTGATGGGCATTGGCAGGCATCACTGATGGGCACTGAAAGGCAACACTTATATATGGCACTGATAGGCAGCATTGATAGGCGGCACTGACTGACACTGATAGGCGGCACTGACTAGCACTGTTAGTTGGCACTGACTGGCACTGATAGGCAGTACTGACAGGCACTGATAGACAGCACTTATGCGCACTGATAGGCAGCACTGATTGGCACTGATAAGTGTCACTGACTGGCACTGATTGCAGCACTGACTAGCATTGATAGTTGGCACTGACTGGCACTGATAGGTGGCAGTGAAAGGCAGCTCAGATGGGCGCTGATATGTGGCATTGATGTGCACTGGTAGGCACTGATATGTGGCATTGATGTGGCACTGATGGGCACTGGCAGCTATCATTGATGAGCACTCACAGGTAGTATTGCTGGACACTGACAGGTGGCACTTATTGGGCTACACTGATCATCAGTGCCCTGATGATCAGTGTACATGTCCCCTCTGAGAAATGCCAATTACCGGCTCTCCTCTCCTCACAAGCTGCCAGCGTGACAGCTCGTGAGGAGAGGAATGCCAATAACCAGCATTTCCTTATTTACATGTGATCACCTGTGATTGGACACAGCTGATCACATGACAGAGCCGACGTCTTCGACTCTTTCCATTGATCGGTGAACAGCTGTGTCCAGGGGGCATAGCACACCACTGATTGTCATGCTGCACACCCCTGGGGGCATACACACACGGTTAGAGTGGGAGGACATCATATAACGTCCTCCCAGAAAGAGAACTCCTTGCGCCCATCATTTCCTTAAATGGCGGGCGGGAGGCTGTTAACCTTAAACTGTGTAGGGAGTTTTTCATAGGGTGGTAAGGATGTGGAACTCACTTCCACAATCGGTGGTGTCAGAGGGAAGTATTCATAGTTGAAAAAACCTCTTACATGGGCATCTTGGTGAACACAATATACAGGGATATGGGATATGACTTTTAACATGAACACGCACACACCCACATTGGTTGAACTGGATGGACTGGTGCAGGGGCAAACTGACAACTCATGGGGCCCCCGGGGAATAGAGGATCATGGAGCCCCTGTGTCCTTGCCCAAACTCAAAAAAGCCTATGGAAAAGGTATCAGGGGCATCTCATGGGGCCCCCTACTGACCCCGGGCCCTCGGGCAGTGCCCGAGTTTCCAAATGGTCAGTCCGCCGCTGGACTGCTGTATTATTTCAACCTTACTAACTCTTTAACTCTGTAACTATGATATACTGTGCATTTGCTGCCTCTGTAGCTCTCTTTTTTATGTTATTTTGAATGTTCGTTTACCGCAATGAGTACCTCATGTTACCTTGTAAGCCTATTATCTTTGTACTATGGCTTTCCTAGATAAAAATTTTATAAAAAGAAAAAGCTAAAATAAACTAAGATTTCTCCCACAGTACTTTTTCTGCCACTAGATGTCCTGAATCACCCAGAATCACGTAACCCACTTTTTCTGAGCTCAGGTCATCCTGGATTCACCTCCAGCCTATGACTGGACAGAGAAAGGAGAAGCAGCACAGTCATGATGTCAGGACCGGGATCTGAACCCATGACCTCTGCTTGACAATTCTGCCTTATGCCTTGATTCGGGTGAACCTTGAGCTCCTTCCATCATTTTTTTATTTAAGCCATGCCTATGAATTTCCTGTTTGCCAGATTGTTGTGCTCTTCTCCAGCCAAAATATAACCTGTCTCTCCTGCTGCCGTCCATATTTTCACTACTACTCCTTACAAACCTTGGCTTGTTCATCGACTATTCCTACACTCAATCCCAACCTACAAGCATTCATTACTGACCTTTGGCTTATCCAGCAACTATGCTTCTGCTTAATCCTTACCAGCAACCACTAGTTACCAACCTTCTGCTTTTATCTGACTACACTTCTGCTTTATCTCTACCAGCTATATCTGCTACTGGACCCTGGTACTCATTTCCTGTGGGGCGATCCTGAGGACTGCAACCTGGTACTAACACATAGCAAAACCCATCTCCACCATCAGGGACTCTGATGAATACCAGCTAGTGCTGAGACCCCGCACCTTGGTTGAGCCCACATCATCCGCAAGGGTGAACTGCTTGTGTACTTACTCAGCTGGCCAATGGGAACCTCTACTGCTATAGCTACCTGTCTCCAGGCCGGACCCTTGACTGTGACACATGAGCTCATGTCTCTGTCACTCTGCTCTCTCAACTGATCAGCATGCTCCTTGTCAACCTTTGTACTAATTACTTCTTTGTACTTTCACACTCCAGCTCTGCTGTACAGGACTGCAAGAGACTGATCCTCGGTTACACTAAGCTATTCACACAGCTCGTCTTTAACCCCTTGGCGCTGGCGCCTCCCGGCCCTTTAAGGGTTCCAGAAGCTGATGGGTGGGGTTTAGGGTCATGTGACCGCTGTGATTCGCTGTCACGGCAGTCACATGATTGGGAAGGGTCCCAATTGCAAGAGGAGATCAGGACCTTTCCGTGAGTACCAAACATGTGTGGGTAAGCGCTCTAAGCACATATGTTTTTTTTTAATAGAAGATGCCGGGAGGCCGCACATTTGTGTTTGGCCGGCACCAAGAGGTTAAATATATTTAAAGTGGTTGTAAGCCCTGGTTCACACTGAAAGACACTTTGAAATAGCTCTACTTTACTTGAAGTGAGGGGCGGACTGACAACTTATGGGGCCCCCGGGCAATAGGGGATCATGGGGCCTCTGTGTCCTTGCCCAAACTCAAAAAAGCCTATGAAAAAGGTACCAAGGGCATCTCATGGGGCCCCCTACTGACCCCTGGCCCTTGGGCAGTGCCTGAGTTTCCAAATGGTCAGTCAGCCCCTGCTTAAAGTAGTGCGATTTCAAGGTTGCAGGTCAGTGCAATTAGAGTTGCAACTTGCCTGACATCTGTGTGACTTCATGCACAGATGTCTATTCAAGTCGCACCTGAAATCGCGTTTATGTGCGTTTGCGTTTAAAAGCGTTTTTTAAAGATAAGCACAGGAGAACCTCCCAAATGCCCAGAATGCACTGAAAAGTGGCAAAGTATTACCTATTTCAGACTGTTTCAGATGATTGTAGCCGTATTAAAGCATTTACAACAGAAACAATTGAGTACTGTCCATGATACTTTTTTTATTTGCACTAACAAACAATTTTAAGGACAAGCTTTCGGGGAGTGTCCCCTTCTTCGGGTCAAAGCAGTACTGATCACAAAGGGTTAGAAGAGATGTTTTGGAGTTGGAAAAAAAAAAAAAAAGAGGAGAACAGAGATAAGATAAGACACAGCAAAAACAGAAGTAGACTGACGAAAAACTGATATAAACTGATGAAAAACGGATGAAAAATTAATGTAAACAGATGAAAACGCACAAAAAACGGATGAAAACGGACAAAAACAGATGAAAACGGGTGTAAACAGATGAAAAACAAATGTAAACAGATGAAAAACAAATGTAAACAGATGAAAAATGGATGAAAAACGGATGAAAAAGGGCCACCATGTATTTCTATGAACTAGCGGATGTAAACGAATAATCATCTGTTTACATCTGTTAATGTCCGCATCTGTTAATATCCTATTTTTCTTCCATTAAAAAAAATGGAATGGATGAAAAACGGATATAGTAATAGGACAAAAACGGAAGTAAACAGATGAAAAATGGATGTAAATGGACAAAAAAACAGATGAAAATGGATGTAAATGGATGAAAACTAATATAAACAGATGAAAAATGGATAAAAAAATGATGAAAACGGATATAAACTGAAGAAAAACTGACGTAAACTGAAAAGCGGATGAAAAACTGATGCAAACGGACAAAAATGGATGAAAATGAATGTAAACAGATGAAACAATGGATGAAAAACGGATGTAAACTGATGAAAACTGACGTAAACAAATGAAACATTTATGTAAATGGGCAAAAATGGATAAAACGGACAAAAAACAGATAAAAACAGACAAAAACAGATGACACCAATGTAAACAGATGAGAAATGGATGAAAAACGAATATAAACAGATGAAAAATGGAATGTATTTCTATGAACTAGCGGATGTAAACAAATGATTGTCTGTTTACATCTGTTAATGCCCGCATCCGTTAATATCTGTTTGTTTGAACGGAAGAAAACCCTATTTTTCTTCCATAAGAAAAAAAAATGGAATGGATGAAAAACGGATATAATAGAACAAAAACGGATGTAAATGGACGAAAAAGGGATGTAATTGGACAAAAAAATGGATGAAAACTAATATAAACAGATGAAAAAAATGATGAAAAACTGGTGGAAACTGAAGAAAAACTGACTTAAACTGAAGAAAAATGGATGAAAAACTGATGAAAACAGATGAAAAATGGATGTAAACGGATGAAAATGGATGTAAATGGACAAAAATGGATGAAAACGAATGTAATCAGATGAAAAACAGATGGAAAAAAATGGACGAAAAATGAATGTAAACTGATGAAAACTGACGTAACCTGATAAAAAACTGATGTAAACGGATGACAAATTAATATAAACGGACACAAAATGTATGTAAATGGACAAAAACAGATGAAAACTAATCTAAAGGGATATATAAAATGGATGAAAAATTAATGTAAACAGATGAAAAATGGATGAAAAACTGATGTAAACTGATGTAAACAGATGAAAAACAGATGTGAACTGATGTAAACAGATGAAAAACTGATGTAAACTGATGTGAACTGATGTAAACTGATGAAAAACTGATGTGAACTGATGTAAACTGATGTAATCTGATAAAAAAACTGATGTGAACCGATGTAAAATGATGTAAACAGATGAACAACTGATGTGAACTGATGTAAACTGATGTAAACAGATGAAAAACTGATGTGAACTGATGTAAACTGCTGTGAACTGATGTAAACTGATGAAAAACTGATGTGAACTGATGTAAACTGATGTAAACAGATGAAAAACTGATGTGAACTGATGTAAACTGATGTGAGCTGATGTAAACTGATGTGAACTGATGTGAACTGATGTAAACTGATGTGAACTGATGTAAACTGATGTAAACAGATGAAAAATGTATGCAAACTAATGTGAACTGATGTAAACTGATGAAAAAACTGATGTGAACTGATGTAAACTGATGTAAACTGATGAAAACTGATGTGAACTGATGTAATCTGATGTAACCAGATGAAAAACTGATGTGAACTGATGTAAACTGATGTAAACAGATGGAAAAATGATGTGAACTGATGTAAACTGATG